GGGGGGACCCCGGGACCCTGCCCGTCCCGCCTCCATCTGGCTCCGGCTTGTCCCGGCGCTCACCCTGGCCTGCAGGGGTCTCTGGGCCTCCCACCCCGACCCTGAGCGACCAGAGGGGCCTCCTGAGGGGACAACGGAGAGGAGGCCGCTTGTCCCAGGTCTTGGGAGCGATAGCAGGCATCACCACCAGTTGAAAACCCTCCTTTCTGTACAGGCACCAAGGCTGGGTCTGGGCCCCCAGCCGGGGCAGGTCAGCCAGCACCAGCACCCCCACCTTCCCAGCCTGGCGGTGCTGTGCGCCTGTAATTACTAACTGCCACGGCCCCTCTGCTACAAAACGGGACTGGCCCCACCAGGGACTTTTTTAAAGGAAGAAAATAAGACAGTTCAGGGGCTGGGGATTTAGCTCAGCGGTTTGGTGGTCTGCCTTGCAAGCGCAAGGACCCAAGTTCAATCCCCCGTACCAAAAAAAAGAAAAGAAAAAAAGAAAAGAAGACAGTGTTATGGGGAGTCTCTCCCGGGCCGGGAGGGTGGGGAGTGGCAGCTTCTTCCTGCACGGGGCCATGGGGCTAAGGACAGGCAGTGTCCATGGAGAGGGACCGGGACCCGCCACCACCCAGAGCGGGAGGCAGGAGCCGGCCCAGCAGATGGCAGAGGCTCAAAATAACCTCAACATGTAAATAAGGGGTTTTGTTCAAAAAGGAAAATTAGATCTATTTCACATATTAAAATAGTTTCCCAGCTGAATTCATCACACTTGGAAACCTACCAAGGACGTTAGCATCCTGAGCCCGGCTGGGCGCTGCTCTTTTCCACTGTTTTCCTGGGGCCGCCCTGGGGACCCCCCACCCTATCTTCCTCCAGCCTGAAACTGAACTCCCAGGGGTTTCCGAGACCCCTGAACCCAGGATCCAGGCCACTCACGTTTCACAGCGTTTAGGACCCGGCTGTCCAGTGGCTTGCGGCTTGGGTCGCTGGTGGACGAGCGGATGCCGGTGCCGCAGCTGTTGGCCAGCGTGTTCCTGGCAGAGGGCAGAGCACAGAGGGCACAGGGTGAGACTGCTGGGCTGTGTGACCCAGGGCCCCGCAGGCCCAGTGGCCTCCCTCAGACTGCGTCCTCGTTCTGGGACACAGGACCGCGGGGAGCAGGCAACTCCCCTGAAGGGTCCGGACAGGAGCCTGGGTGGGTCCCTGGCAACTGAGTTGACACAGACCCGGCCACATGATGGGGCCCATGACTTCTGCAGTATTATTTAGGGGAGTGCCATATTTGGGGAGCACCAGGGAAGCCAGCCCTCTAGCCTGGAGGTCTCAGGAGTCCTGTCGTTCCCTGGAGCCACCCCGCCGACCCCAGGAGGGTGTGAGCTGAGGAGGAGCCATCTGCTTTGTGGCTCTGTCCCCACCTACCTGTCGAAGAAGGTGGCCAGGAGCCTCCGCAGCAAGACCTTGTGCTTCACCCCTGCACAGAGGTGGCAGTTCATGAGCTGGCCACGTGTGATGTAGACCCCGGAGCCTGCAGTCAGCAAACGTGTAGCATGAGGCCCTGGGCCTGACACCCTGAAACCTCTGCTTGTAGCCTCCTGAGGCCATGGGGTCCTGCTGCGATGGACTGGCGGTCACTACACATGCTGCCCTGGTGCCCCCATCCTCCCCCATGTGTCCCAAGCTCCTGTCAGCAAGACATGGCCACCCGGCCTCGGTCGCTCTAGGAACAGCACCAAGGGGCTGTCCTGGCCCTTCCCAGGTTCCATAGAGCCTCGGTTGTGAGGGGTCATGGAGGGCAGGCCCGGGGCCCAGCCCAGCACTGACCTCCCCTGGCTGTGTGCAGAGGGGACCCCAGGCCCAGGCAGAGGTGACATCGCGGCCATGCTGGATCACTGAATCCGTGGAGACCTGCCCCTGCCCTGGGCACATCACCAGAATGTGGGTGGGCGAAGGGCAGAGCAACAGGGGACTGGCCCGGCTGGGAATAGTGGGAGGCCTCTGTGGACGTGGATGTGGCCCCAGGAAAGAGCAGGGTGGAAATTCGAAGGTTCCCCGGGCCCTGGCGCCTGTGCAGCCTGCGTTGTCTAGGATCTGTGAGAGAGTGAGGACTGACTGTGTCCTTTCTCTGAGGGACCTGCTGTGGCCTAGGGAGACCTCGCCCGAAGGCCTGAGGGCCAACTCTGGTCAACTCTGTCACCGCAGCTGAGGGGGCCTGGCTGCTGGGATCCTGCTCCAGGGGGCAGCAGTGCCAATGATCATGAAGCCGCTGCACCCTGAAGGAGGCACAGGGCCCACACACAAGTTTCCAGGAGCCCAGGGGCCTCCAAGACCCTGCGTCGGGCCCTGGCTACCCACACTGAACAGCTCTCCAACCTTGCCCTGAACATAGGCTGCCCCTGTGCGTGGGGGCTAGGCCTACATGGGAAGGGACCCCTGGCACCCCCATTCACCCAGGCAAGCAGGAACAGGGGCTCAGGGAGTGAGCAGCCGGCTGTGGCTCACAGCAGAAGGGACAGTGGGCACCAGACTGCCAGGGCGTGCAAGACCCCAACGGCTGAGGCTTACATGGCTGCTCCAGGGACCCCGCCCAGCCCATGTGGGGGACTTTCCCCAGAAACCAAGGGACGGAATGACAGTACCACATGAGTTTCAAAGTCGTCTGAAGCCCAGCCCTGAAAAGACAAGAACTTCGGCCGCTGGTACCAGGGCGGGAGGCCGGGACACCTGTCACTCTATCTGCGACCTGGACTGAACGCACACAAACACAGTCCCCTCCAATCAGGAGCAGAGCCAGCTCAGGGGATTCAGTTAAAATGCTAAATTAATTCAACTGACTAACTCCCCTTAATGACACATTCTTCTAAGAGGAAATTTAAGATACTCCTCTGCTTGGCTGACTGGTGAGAAGTGCACGGTTCATGGCTCTGAACACACGGGCGAGCGGACATTTGCACGCAGTGCGCAGGGAGGGGACTCACCCGCCACCAGCTCCAGCTTCTCGCCGGGGTCCCCCTCAGAGTAGAGCTTGGGGTGGCAACGGTAGCCGATCTGGCTGATGAGGCTGGCGGGCAGTGCCACGAGGTCACGGCGGATGAGGACGCAGGAGCGGCTCTCCAGTGGCATGGGCTCTGGCTTCTCTTGCACTGTGGCACAGAACCACCCTGTTAGGTGGGCACCTGTGGCCTGGCAGGCTGAGTTGCGCTCGTCCATGGTAGGTCTTCACTTTATTTTTGTAGGACTGAGGACTGAACGCAGGGCCTTCACACCAAGCTACATCCCCAGCCCTTTTAGAAATTTTTTTGAGATACGGTCCAAGTCAGTGACTTAGCTCAAACTTATGACCCTCCTTCCTCAGCCTCCCAGAGTGTGGAGATCACGGCCTGCATCATTGCACCCAGCTCTGCCACGCTCCTTGAACACCTTGTGCCAGTCTGGGCGGTCAGAGCGCCACAGCCTCCCTGCTTCACCCTGTCCATGTCCCCAGCTGGCCTCGTGCTGTCACGGGGTGGCAGTGAGGGGACCACCCTGGCCCAGGTGCCTGGCCTGATGGTGGCAGGAGCTGGAGAGGATGCAGGTCAGCCTGGCCGGGGGCATGGTAGCTGGAGACAGGGCTGGGACCCAGGGACAAGTGGAGCAGCAGCTGCCCAGGGAGCACAGCGGGAGCAGGGTGGCCCAGCACTGTTACCCCAAACCTATTACCAGCTCTCTCGAGAGGTAGCAGCAGGACTGGCCAGCCCAGGTAAGGGCTGGGGACCCTAACAAACAGGAAACACAGGCTGGGACCAGGCCAGCCTGGCAGGGAGCCACTCTGTAAATATTTGTCAACAGCAGAGCCCAGCAAGTGGAGTGGCCCTGGCCTCCTGCTGTTCCTGACACACTGGGCTGGATAGGACTGGATCGGGGACAGAGCCTCACCCGCAGCTCTGCACTATCTGCGGAGGGGCCCTGGACATCCCCACGCCCCCTGAAGGGGGCATCGGCTCCACATAGCTCCCGGCCAGGCTCCGCCCTGGGCACCTGACCAGCCTGGCCTGGCCATGTCCCCAGCAGGACACCACAGCCAACATGGAGTGCTGGGATCTTCTCTAGCACTCACAGCCTTCCTCTCCTCTCCTGCTTGACTGACTGCAGGGCACCCTCAGTGTTAAGGGCTGAGGGGAACACATGGTCCCGCCCTGATCGGCAGGCCTCCCAGTGCCCCCAGACACACAGGGCCTGCAGCCCCACACTCTGCTCCATGGCCACTCCTGACCTGGAGGCTAGAGGGTGCAACCCTCACACACCCTCAGGTCACGACGGTACCTGTGAGCCCCATGTCCCAGGCCGGGGAAGGGCCTTGGGTCTCCCAGGTGCAGGTCCTGCTCAGGGAGTCTGGGATCAGAAGCCCCCAGGAAGAGCTGGCTTACAGAATCTGATGCTTGATGCTCAGAAGCCGCAAGTCCTGCACCTCAGACTCCAGCAGGCTCAGGTAGGCCTGGCCCTCCCTCGGCACCAGGGCTCCACCTTGTCCAGTCACTGGACAGCTCAGTGGGGGCTGCTGTGGTGGGAGGGGCTCCCCAGGGGCAGGGGACCTGGGTCAGACAGAGGGGTGGGAGCCAGCCCTCCAGGACCAGCAACTGGACACAAGGTGACCTTACACACACCCAGCCACAGCAAGCCACCGCCCTGAGACCCGAGTCTGCAGTGCCGTTCCTGCCCCTGGGCCCCTCCGCCCTGCAAGGTCTTGGCCACTCCTGGGGTGGCCTTTGACAGCAGCTTCCGACAAGCAACCATGACCTTCAGGCTGCGGCTGGGTTTCGGGGAGGAGGAAGGCTCCGCGTAACAGACAGCCAAGGTGAGAGCAGAGGCTGCAGGTGGCAGCTGCGGAGGGTTGGGGGCGCTTCCCCAGGCAGAGCCCGGAACCACCGGGCTCAGGGAACACGGAAAACAATCCAATCGGGATAATATTTTAAACATAATTACGCCCCCCGCCCCCTGGCCTGCTGTGATTACACATTCGAGCGCAGTGCCATGGCATTTACATAAAGAGTATTCGCCAACAGAAATAATCCCCCATCCACAACCACCTCAGCGCGAGATGTTTTTCCCAACAGCAGAAGTTGTTTGCGCTCCGCACATCCACCCCCCAAGCCCAGCCTGGCTCCCCGAGAGCAGGGACCGTCAGCACCAGAACCCGAAAAAGACGCATCTATTTCTGCCTTGCCGAGTGCTGGGTGCTGCAGCTAAAAATACCCCAGGCAGGGATGCAGCCGCTCCTCTCCTCGGAGAGGCTCTCTGAACTCCGAGCCCACCCTTCATGGGCCCGCCTGCCCACCCATGAGCCAGGGGCTGCGCTCCCCACAGGGCTGCCGGGGTCAGGACGCAGCTGGGGTGGACAGAACGACTGGAGGTGGGTACAAGTCCAGCAGGCCCCTGCCCACAGGTGGTGGGCGGCCCCTCAGGGTACAAGTGACCCTCCGATCACACTGAGGCCCCTCCACCGCCTGTCCCCCTAGGACCACTGTGCTGCAGCCCCATCAATGAGGCTCAGTTCCCAGGACAGCAGCTTACAGACGGGCAACAGGCTTTGTGTGCGGAGAGGGGACAGCCACAGTCCACAAGAGTGTTGGGCCCAAACGTTGTGAAGTCTGGGGCCACAGCTCATCTGGGACACGGGGTACAGAGGTCACAGGGGTCAAAGCAAACACAGTAAGAACAGGGTTGCAGATACAAGATGGACCCCCAGGGGTCCTGCCTTCCGGGCCGCGCCTCCAGCCTAGGCGGCAGACCCTGCAGGGGCCAACAGCCCAGCAGGCACCAGATCCCCAGTCCTGCTGGGCAAGAGAAACCAGCCAGACACAGAGAGCAAATCCTATAGAACTCTATTCCAGGGGATTCCGAGGGACATCGAGCTAAATAGACAGAAGTAGAAAGGGGGTGCTAGGATTGGGGACAGAGTCGGGGAGAGGTTGGGGAGGGTGGAGACAGCAGCATGGCAGGGTGAACCCCCTGAACGGCGCTGAGCCACAAACCAAAAATGGTTCAAACAGTCACTCTGTGCCCTGGATATTAAAAACACATTTAAAAAGCAAAGAAACTGGGGTGCAGTTCAGTGGTAGGAGGGGTGCTTAGCACACAGCAGGCTCTGGGGTCTCAACAGGAACAGTGGGTGTTGCAGGTGTGGAGGGGGACAGCTGGAACCACGGCCTGTCTGATTCTGTCCCCAGCGAGGCTGCTCAGGAGTGGGGGATCCTCTCTGAGAACAGCTCGGGGACACCGCTGGCCAGGAGGCCCACATGTGGTCCTCGCTGCGGGAGGAGGAAGGGGATGCCCACACCATGGCACAGCCTGCCACCCCCACACATAAACCCAGCTTAGCAGGAGGACGCTGGCCACAGCCCTCGGGTCTGAAAGCTTCCACGAAGCCACTGCGACAGGCACCGTGTGGATGGACGCGGCTCAACAGCGAGGCCCAGGGGTCACCGAGACCCACAGGAGAGCACAGCCGGAAGCGGCCACACACCTGCTCAGGAGGTGTGGGCAGGGTCACGGACCTAGGTGTAAAGACTCACTCTGAGGAGAAAGTGACAAGCTCAGAGGTGACCCCCCAAGCAAAACCCCTAAGAAATAAATGACTGACAGGTGGGCACAGAGGCTCATACCTGTCGTTCTAGCTCTCTGTAAAGCTGAAGGAGGATCACAAGTTTGAGCCCAGCCCGGGACACTTAGTAATTTAGCCAGACTCTGTCTGGAAATGAAAAAATAAAGAGCTGGAGATGCAGCTCAGGGCAAAGGTCCAGGGCTCAATCTTTGGTACTGATGGGAAAAAAGTGTGCTCTCCTCACCGCTTGGAGAAGGGGGGACGGACACTGCTCGGAGAAGCCCTGCGGGTACCTGATGGCCAGACTCAAGCCCCGCCCACATCAGGCTGGGACAGACACGGAGCGTGGGGACGGGGACGGGGACATCCGCCACAGCTGAAAGGAAGGCAATTGTGCGGGTCCTGGCGGAGTCTGTGCACGCCCGGCACCTGAGCGCCACTGTGCGCTAGGTATTGGCGCGGGAAGCTTGGAGGCAAGCAGCCCCCACAGGCACAAAGCCGCCCAGCCTGGCCCACCATGTGTCCCCAGCCATGCACAGGAAGGAGCGATGGTCACAGCCAGAGCCCGGGTGAGACACCGAACCCACGGTCACACACTGGGGTCTCAAGAAGACAGGAGTCAGGGGCAGGGAGCAGGTCAGCGGCCGCCAAGGTCTGGGGTGGTGTGGGTGGCCAGCAAGGAGGGCAGAGAGGGGCACAAGCAGCGACCGGCCAACCGTCCCAGGGTGGCCCAAGCTCAGTTCAGCACAGATGCACATCAACCAACGATCCAGGTGCAGCCCCCGCCACCCTCGCCTGCCACCGACCCATGGCTTGCTCCAGCCACAGCCCTGTCTGTCAGGCACCCCATGTAACATGGGCACCATGTGGCCAAGGCTTCGGAAAGTCTTTCCTCTGGCCCACCCCCTCTCCACCCAGTCCGGGCCATGGTCTGGGTCCCAGGCCCCCCCGCAGGAGGGACTGGCCTTGTCCAGGTCACTGCAGCTCAGGGTCCCAGGCCATGTCGGGGTCCTCACTTGGGAAAGGGGCAGGGGGTGCACAGGGGGAGGAAGGCACAGATGCGGCTGTGAAGATGCAGCCCGCTGTGTGTGGCAGAGGACAGAAACACCACGACAGTGACCACGCCACACCACAGGGGCGAGACATGCCCTACCGCGGTGCCAAGCCATGGGGAAAATGCACCTCGGCGCAGTGGGACCTGGTGCCGGGCACAAAGGAGCACAGGCAGGCAGAAGCACAGCAGAGGCAGAGCCTACAGCTGGGGATCGTTGGGGTCAGCAGAGGTGTCCCTGCCACCAGGAGCAGGGGGTGCCATCCCACCAAGTGCCCCAAGGGCTGGCGCGAGGCAGCGCAGCAGCCAGGCCCCTAGTGTTCAGTCCTCCAGCCCCATGGCTCCCACAAGAGGGCCAGCTCCTTAACACCCACCTGCACGAGCTAAGCCTGCAGACCCAGGACACCTGTCCAGCAGGGGCCCCACCCTGCTGCGGCTGCTGTGTCCCCAGCATCTCTGGCCCCTATTCCTGCCTGGAAGGTCCCTCACTGGGCTCCGACCTGGCCACTGCC